CTCAAACTGCCACCCTGTGGTTCTCAGGTAAGCACTACTTTTAATAAATCCAAGAGTCTCTGAGGAACCAGTAAGCTTGACTATGTTTGGGGAAGGGAAGTGGGTGAACTGAATTGGAAGTTAAGAAGCACACTTTTCATCTTGTATTTGTACCTTTTGAATTTCCAACAATATGAATGTACCACCATCCGAAACAAAATTTTCTTAAAAAGCAGTTTAAAAGCCACAAGTAGGTAGGCAAGTAGACGTGCAGCTAGGTAAGAAGTTCTGGCATTGTCGAAGGAGAACGGGTCTTTGCAGGGACTGGTCCAGGCCCCTCCAGTCCCTAGAGGAGTAGGCCCAGGGTGGATGTGCTATGTCCAAGTTCAGTTCCCTCCAGGGGTCTTCCCTAGAGCAGAGGATACAAGGAGCTGGACTGAGACCCTATGAGTCCTGGTGTGGCGCTGTGGGCTAATGTGCCAGACTGCAAAGCCGTTTGAACTGCAAGGTCAGCAGTTCAAGCTCACCAGCTGCTCCTTGGAAACCCTATACAGGGTCGCTATGGGTCGGAACCAACTCGACAGCACTTCACAACAATAACAACGGAGCTCCTGGCTTCCAGCACAGGACTACCTCCCTGCAGAACACAATGCCCAGGCCAGGGTTCAATGGAATCTGCCATCCTGGGCAGCAGTCTCAGTTCATTGCCCAGCACAGTGCTCTGAAGTGATGGACAGGGGAAGGACATTTTCTCCTGCCACTGGCAGTGGGTGGACACCAAGCAGACGCCTAACAGTGACTGATGGATTCCAAAGGGGCCTCTTTGTAGAAACAAAGGGAGGAAGTGAGATTGGAAGGGAAGGCAGCCTTGGCGACCCCCATGGCCTCCCCTCCCCTCTCAGGCAGTGGTGATGGGCCCTGCAGGGACTGCCCTGGCCTGCCCAAGGTGCTATCCTGATATTCAGGGGGTCTGTTGAGGCTCGGGCCAGGAAGGAAGAGGCCAAGGTCATTGGGCAAGGAAGGAAGAGGGAGGGACTGGCCAGGCATAGTAGTGACAGGGCTGACAGCCACTCACAGATGCCTCTGGTGCCAGGAGCTCTGTGGCCAGTTCCGTCTGTCTGCATGACCCTCTGCCTATGAGCGCTCACCTTCCTGTTACAGTCTGAGATGAGAGAGACCAGGAGCACAGCCAGGCACCACAGAGAGGAAATTTCAACCTGGTTTTGTAGACTCCCCCCTGAGGATATTTCTATTAGGTTACATGGATGGGCCCAGTGACCAGGGACAGGGGTGAGGAGGCAGGTGGGAAGAGGAGCTCTAGTGTCCTACCCATGCTGCCCCTGAACAGGCAGACTGGGGTTCAGCCCCTCAAAGAGGGACTCCTGAGGTAGGCAAACATTACCCTCCCAGCCAAGCCTCTGCCAGGGTCCTCCTCAAAGCCTCCCAGCTCAAGACACAGACCAGAGGCAGTATATGAAGGAATCCCAGGGGGCAGGTAGCCTGAGAGTGAGGGCTAGACCCTAAAGGGGACGGAGACGGAGGGTGAGAGGCAGGCAGAGGCTAGGACTAGAACATAGTCGGTGGGACCTGGGGTCCAAGCTTGAGGGTCCACAGAGGATCTTTGTTGTTAAGTACCGTGGAGTCAGTTTTGACTCACAGTGACCCTACACAGGGTTTCCGAGGCTGCAAATCTTTACAGGAGCAGAAAGCCTCACATTTCTCCCACAGAACAGCTGACAGAGGATCTTGAGAGCCAGTCAAAGTCATTCCCCCTACACACTGACAGACCAGCACATTCCATAAACAGACACACACACATGCTTCCTTATCAGTGAGACAACCTGACCAATAACTCTAGAAACTTCTGAGAACCAGGTCCCAGCACCTCCTATGCCTGGCCTTGACAAAATGGGCAAAGAACCATGCTAAGCTTTTTACAAGGCCTCATGGGATCTGAGTCCTTCCTGGGCCTGACCTTCCTCCTGCTCACCCAGAGTTGTCCCTGGGAAGTTGACTCAACTTCTAGGGTTACAGGAGTATGCACACACATGTTCACACACAACCCTTCTGCCAAATGTTCTCACAGCTCTTGCCAGGAAATCCAAGACTTCCCGTCTCAGCCCAGAAACCTGTAAGCAGATTAGGTAGGCAGTCCTGGCTGTGTGAGGTTCTCAGAGGCAGACAATGCTCACTTCTACCTTTTCGACAGCTCGAGGAGGATCATCACCCCATTTCAGGCTGACTCTTGGTTTCCTCATCCCCTGCACCAGAGCCTCCTTGGCCACTTCCTGCATACCGTAGCCTGGCTGCATCCCTGGGGACACGGGGTGTATGGATGACATGGTGCAAAAATCTGACTTTCTGGTTGCTTCTTTCTTCCCAGCATCCCCAATGTCATAGCTCAAAGACTGAGGTGCAGAGAAGTGACAGACTTGTCCACACTCTGACTGGCAAGCAGCAGAGCCAGGACCACTGGCTGGGCCCCTGAAAAGAACTCACTGAAGACCAAGCCAGGCTTCCTATAAGGATCCCTTGTGACGCACAGGTTAAGCACTTGACTGCTAACAAAAAGGATGACAGTTCTAACCCACCAGTTGTTCTGAGAGAGAAAAATTGAATCAGTCTGTTTTCATAAATACGTACTGCCTTGGCAACCCTGTGGGGCAATTCTACTCTGTCCTTCAGGGTGATGAGTATGAATCGACTTCACAGTGATGGGTTTGGTTGGATTTTTAGTCCTGATGTGGGCTGTAGAATAAGCTCTGGACCACAGAGTCAGTTTGAACTGCAGGGTCGGTGGTTCAAACTCACCAGCCACTCCTTGGAAACCCTATAATAGGTCACTGAGTCAGAACAGATTCAATGGCCCTTAACAACAAATCAACAAAGTGAGTTGTCTTGGTGTAGGGCTGTAGGATGAACACTGGACTGCTAACTGCAAGGTTGGCGGTTCAAGCCCAGTAGCCACTCCTCAGGGTTGCTCTGAGTCAGAATCAACTGGAAGACACTTAACAACAACAAGGAGTCCTGGTATGGTGCTGTAAGATAAGCACTGGACTGTTAACCGCAAGGTTGGCGATTCAAATCCACTAGCCATTTCTTGGAAACCCTCTACAGGGTCATTCATGAGTATGAACAGACTTGATTGCACTGAACAATAACTAGGAGGAGCCCTGGTGGGTTCAAACCCAGCAGCCGCTCTATGGAAGACAGATGAGACGGTCTGCCCCTGTAAGACTGACAGGCTTGGCAACTCTATATATGGTTGCTAGGAGTCGTAACCAAGTTAACAGCAATGGGCTTTATTTGGGGGGTTATGCCCCCCCTGTGATTCCCACCCAAGCCACTGATAGCCACCAGAGTTACACATGGGGTCAGGTGGAGGGTCAGTCACCAGTCCCTCCCTTTGGTCTGTCCTGGGATGGGATCTCCATCTGACAAACCACCCCCCCTCCATCTAGCAATGAGAGACGCAGTGTGACCTTCACCCTCTGCCAGCCTGTTTCCCCACTGACGCAGGCTGTACAAAGCTAGTGTTTCTACTCACCTCCCACCTTCCCCACAGCCCTAAAGCCAGGAATCACAACCTGAGCTCCACTTCCTCATTCCTGCCCCACCCCCTAACCAAACCCAAACCCAGTGGCATCAAGTGGGTTCCTACTCAGAGTATAGGGCAGAGGAGAACTGCCCCATTGGGCTCCCAAGGCTGGAAACCTTAAGGAAAGCAGACGGCCACATCTTTCTCCCTCAGAGCTGCTGGCAGGTTTGAACTGTCGACCTTTCAGTTACATGTTCAGTGCTTAACCAATACATCACCATGGCTCCCACCTGCCCACCCCCACCCCTCTGGACTCCACATCTAAGTCTGGATCCTTCCTTGTCCCCCACTCTTGGCCCCAGACCAGGTGCACCCATGCAAGGGGCTGCGATGCCAGAAGAGACAAGGACCCCCGAGCCAGGAGTCCCAACGAGACAGTCACTAGCTCTATACTCGGGCCTATGTGTAGGAATGGACTGCCTAGCACTGCCCCTGGGTGCCCACAACAGGACACTCACCTTGTTCTTGGCCCACCTGCTATGTCCCATACCCCTTCCCAGAGATAGGTGAGACCCACAGGAAGTGTGGGGTAAGGTGAGGTTCCTATCACTGTTCAGTAAATCCCCAGCTTCTAACCAGCCTCTCCTGGTAAGCCCCAAGCAGCGTATGCAAAATTGTTCTGGTACACAAGCAGAAAATTACTGAGCAGCACTCCCTGAGAAGGATGGGGACTGGGGAAAGGGGCAGGGGAAGCAGGGCACACACACCTGCAACCCCACCTCCAGAGCCCAGGCCTGCAGAGTCACCCCGCCTCCTCGATGCTCCTTGGGTGTCACCTGCTCTATAGTGGGCCCATAATTTTCACTGCTGGGAAATCCCTCCCACACCCAACCCAAATACCCCAAGTGGCAGAACAAACTTTGACCTCTTCTAGACTGCCTGGGCACAGTCGGCCTAGGACAGGCCAGAGCTGGGGCTAGGCTCGCTGGGCAGTGGACCCAGGGGCAGCCTGCTGGACTCTGCAGTAACCCACATAGGCCTTCCGAGTTCTGGAGTTCCCTCAGTCTTCACACCAATACAATGGACTCCAGGCAGGAAAGAGCTGGTCACCACTGGGAGCCATCACGGAGCCCCCTAGTCCCACCCCTCCAAGCATGGAGACACAAGCCTCCCACTCAGTCAGCCTGATACCGCTTCTCCTCAGGGATGCACCATTTTAATCTGCATTTATTTTTTAAATAAATATTCTGCATTTCCCTTCACGGTTGGGGAAGGGGGGCTAGGCAGAGGCCCTCCAGGGTCAGCAGTATGGTCAAGCTGGCCATCCAGTCCTCCCCCGCAAATGCCTCAGCTGTTTCAATTAGTCCTGATCTTCTTGGAGACAGCACACATGCCTGAGAGGAAATTTCCATGACCATGGGATTCTGGTTTGGGGGCGGGGCCCGCAGTGACTCCCCAGGCTCTGGCTTTGCCAACTAGGGCTTTAGATGCAAGTGATCAACATGTCCATGAAGGTGGGCATTTCGATCTCCGAGAAGAGCACGCGGTCCCGAGTGGTCCCGGTGTCCCCAGCCTTGGCCGAGGCCCTCAGCAGGTCCTGGGCGCGCTGCAGCAGGCGCTGGTTCCGCCGGCGGCCCAGTCGGCGTAGCGCCAGCACGGCCAACACATGCTCCCGCCTGCAGAGACACACAGTCCCTAACTGCAGCCGGGCACCTCCAGTCCACGGTGATGGACTCCCTTGCTCCCGCTGGAGGTGTGTGTGGCCCCGCTGGTATAGGAGTCCCGCCCCAAGGCCAAGCTGCTCAAGGCTTAAAATTGGTGAGGGCAGAGAAGGAGGGAGGGAGTGACAGGCTGGCTCAAGGCAGGTCCTGGGAAACACCCAGACCTCGTCCTGGGTGCACTACTGGGGAGCACAGACAGTAACCCCATGTTGTGGGTTGAAAGAGAAACAGCAGCCTGGTGGTAAAAGGGCAGGGGCTACCGAGGATTGCCCCATCACCGCCTGAGCACCGGGTGGGGCTGGAGACAGGGGAAGTCCAAGGGGAACCCCACCCCCAGGGATTCACCGGGAGGGGCTACCCGCTGGCCAAAGCCACGGAAATGTGCCAGGTCCCTTCAGCGCTCGCGGGAAGGGGCGGGGGAGAAAGAGGGGGGAGAGGGAATGGGCCAGGAGGGTTTCTGGTGCCACCTCCCCACCCCTTTCTGGAATCTCCAAGGCCACAAAAGATTCGGGCCGGGATTTCCAGGGGATCCAATGATTCACTGTCACCCCAACACACCCCGGGATCAAAGCCTCCGCTCTCCTAGACCGACTCAGGTGGCTGGCTCAGGCGGCTGCACATACGGATTTGTGGCTTCCAGAGTTTCCTCCATGTGTTGGGGATTCGCCACCCCGTAGATTCCCAAGGTAGGTGGGAATCGTCGCTCTGTGTCCCCCACCCCCACCTCTCCACCCCCCGCCAGGGGCCTAAATAAGGACAGACTAGGCCGGGTTGTGGGTGAAGTGAACCCCTCTACACACACTCAGGTCAGTAGCGTAGAGGCCTGGTGCTGAGGGGCTCACGCGCATGCGCTGAGGTCACCCAAGGTTTCAACTCACCCTGTAGGGGCCTCTAGCCCCCACAAACTAGCTTATGCTTCCCCTTGGCTTCTCACATCCCTCACATCCCCTAAAGCCACAGAGGCCTTCTGAAGGTTCAAACCCTAATCCCCAGGCCTCCTTAAAACTAGAGGGGACGCAGTGAGTCGCGGACCTGACATCGGGATAGAGTTCAATGAGCATCTCCAGGTGCTTCTGGATGTCGTCTTTGTGCGTTTCCCCCAGGATGTCCGACACGCACGGGATGGCCTGGTCCAGCCATGAGGCCTCTGAGCCCTGCAGGGACAGGGAGGTGCCTGAGGCCCACGATCCAGGAGTGACGGCCACCCCGAGTGGCCACCCCCCTGACCACGATGACCACCACCTGTTAATCCCTTGACTGCACCCCCCAGGATTTGGCAGGATGCAGGCCTCTGCACTGAGGCCTCATCTACCACAACAGCATCCAGCTCCCTTCCCCAGGAGCCAACGCACCTAGGTTCTTCCTGTCTCTGCACAAATGGGGAAACCAAAGCCCAGGCCTGGGAATCACCCAGCAAGTGGGGGTCCGGTAGCCCAGGAGAGGGCTCAGATCGAAGCATGGTGGTGAGGGAGGCGAGGACTCACACTGATTCCTCCCAGGGAGAGGAGGGTGCTACGCCTGTAAGCTGCACCCAGATGTATGTGAAGCACCACCCCACCTGTCAACACCCCGTGTGCCAGATGCCACGCCTCTCCCTGCCCCCCACTCTGATCTGACCCCTGAGGTGGACTGTTTATGCTAGGGTCCACACAGCAGGAGGCAAGTGACCCACAGCTGCTCCTACCAGGCCCTGAAAAGTGTCACTAATGGCCTGAGCATCAAGGTTCATCTTCTGGGAGCCAGTCACGCGCTCGGCACCCCGAAACCGCTCGCGTGGTCTCAGCACCTGCACCAGGTACTCGCGGATCACATAGCGGTGCGCCTCTCGCAGGATCTCCTGGAGGGTGGGGATGTGGGGGGCAGGGGCAGGGAGGTCATGCCCTTGAATTCTGACTTGGACACGCCCCCGCCAAGGTCCACTCTCTCTGGGTACCTGTGCCTTAGGGGGAGCCACGAGCTCGAGTTGACGGCCAAAGTCTACCACCTTGTCCATGAGGGGCTGAAGAGCATCTTGTGTCAGCCAGGCCTTGGTGCACAGGACCTTGAAGAGTGGCTGGGAAGGGGCGGGGGTGGGATCTTGATTTTGCCCTCCCCACCTACCACACCCTCCTCTCCCCTCCACAGCTCCTGGCAGGGGGCATTTCAGGCCCAGAGGCAATCTGTCACAAGAAGGAACCTTGGCAGATGACCTGACCACCTTCTTTATCAGGTTTCCTGGTGCCACTTCCTCTCAAGGCAGGAGTGACATCACCAGGCCTTTGTCAAGAAAGCATCCTCCAGGCTGTGAGAGGGGCCTCTACCAGTCCCTGCTAGGATGTGCCCTGGGCAGGGGGGGCGGGCCAGGCCTGGCTTCCTTGTCCCACCATCGGGGGTTGGCCCTTGACCAATGAGAAATACAGACTGAAGTGAGAAGATGGGCATATTCCCACACACCTGGGAACACAGCTGGGTCCCCTGCTCCCCCACAACACTACACATCCCTTCAACAACCCCTGAGAGGAAGTGTGTGCTTAACCTCTGCTCACAGCCCCATGAGAAGTGGGGGAAAGGAACACGCCTGTAAGGTGACAGAGACGGTGCCCATCTCCCTCACCTGCACATCACTCTGCAAAACCTGGAGCAGACGTTTCTGGAAGCTGGAGGTGGTAGCTGCCAGTGGCTTCCCCAACTCCTCAAAGGTGCCTGGGAACCTGGCCAGAAGACTGGTCCTGGGGAAGGATCAAACAGGTGAAGCTGGAGGTAAGAAGAGACAGGTGAAGTGGAGGATAAAGGTGGAAGACAGTAAAGTGGGGAGTAAGG